CAACAAACACATATCTCCACCTCCCCGCTGTGGGAAAATTTTCGTGTTTTGACCCTTATCGCATACAAATTCAGGATCTGACCCTGGTTGAGAAAATTTTCGGGATTTGACCCTTTCGCTACCGCCAGGGGCCCTGGTGGTAGGGTTAGACAGCCTACCGCCAGGGGCCCTGTCGGTAGGGTGCGGCGGAGGGGAACGGCGACCGTTTTCCCGTGCTGACGTGGATTAGTACCCTACGCTAAGGCCCCTGGTGGTAGGCTATGTAACCCTACCGCCAGAACCCCTGACGGTAGGGTGTGGCTGGGTTTTTGCCTCGCAAAGTTTCTGTAACGAAATATCAAAGTGCCCTAGCGATAGGTTCACCCTACCGCCGGGGGGGGGGGTGGTAGGCTGTGTGACCCTACCACCAGGGTACGTGGCGGTAGGGTCCTGTGTTTTATGGTTTCAGGTTTAATTTGTTACTTCTTTTCAAAATCAATATCACATATCTTAAACAATTAAACTTGGGCATCACATACACATTAACAAAACTTGAAGTACATAGACACATAGTTCCACAAATAGCAAACGGAGTTCAACTAATTAGTAAACGGAGTTCCACATAGACACACAAGTAGCAAACACACCGTCCCACGAATAAGCTACAAACGAAGTTCCACAAACGGAGTTCCAACACACAAGTAGCAAACACACCGTTCTACAAACTGAGTTCCAACTACAAGACCCAACTATCCAAGAGCAGAATTACTTGCTCCTTCCCCTCTTGGAGGTACGGTCCTCATTACTCTTTGAATGAGTCTCTTCAGTCCTGTTCTTGGGCCGTCGAGGAACCGGTCTCTGGAAAGGGTCCGGACTCAGCAAATCCTTCTTCTTTGGATTCCTCTTCGGCAGCTGAGATGGTTGAGATGATTGAGTTGGTGGAGGTCCATAATCATCATCGTACTCCTCCTCCCCATTGCTCTCATCCTCCTCATCCCCTTCTTCATGTGTGGCCTCCTCCTCCTCAGCCAACCTAGACAACGAGGGAACATGGCTCGATGAGCCGATGTGACCATGTGTGGCTACAGGTTGATAAGCTTCAACCGACCCAGCTCCAGCACACCTAAGCAGCCCTACCAACTTGCCACAGCGCTTCACGAACTTCTGCACTCACAATGAAACAAGGGCATAATAAGTATCGAATTTACGATTGCAAGTGAACAAATATGCATTTGTTTCGAGGAGGCTGGAGTTGTACCTTCATCGTCCCCCTCATGTTGTTATTACATTGTACGCTCCCGGGGGTAGCACCTAGTGCATCTGAGGCTTCAAAGATGCATCTGTTCAGCTCACCGGACTGTAATGGCATAAGTCAGTCATGATGACCAATAAAATAATTTAAATACAACTGTCAGTTCAAACATACCACTCTGTTGATGAGGGGTGCAAACTCCCTAAATCCACTATGCATGTCTCTGATGCCGGTCTGGTAGGCCTCTTCCTCGGGGTCATCCCTCTCCAGCTCCACGATGTCTTCCGCCGTCCACCGAGGCCTGAGACGAAGACGGTGCTTCTAGCCATCATCGTACCACCTCATGTGTCAGCCCAGGTAAGCATCCCAGTCAGTCACTTTCCTCTCCACATCTTTACGGTACCTCCGTTGGTTCCACTCCGTCACATGAGTTTTATGCTCCTCTCCCTAGTCTGTGATCGACTGATTCTTCTGCCTGCTCATCCTGCAAGGCATAGGCCACAAGAAACATCATAATAAAGTCACCACGCAATGAAATCATGGGCACGAAGAACAAGCGCACTCACATGTGGAGCGCGTGGTTGCCGGTATCGGTGGGCTAGCAAGGTGGGGTATGCTGATACATCACAAACTGCATGGCCACGCGGTGTGGCAAGTGCCACTCGACGGCGTACACACAGATCATGGGCATGATGCACTGCCAAAGACCACTGTCCGCATCGCACATCACATTCAGATCGAAGTCCAACTCTCGGTCATGATACAACCACCAGTTTACCTATTACATATACATTGGTAAGTTCCCACTCTCGGTCAAAAGTGGAATCAAAGAGAAAGGTGGTGAGCGAGTTCATATACCTGCGTATGCGTCAAAGCGTCCAACTCGTTGGTGTAGGTCTTGTATGAAGTCTTGTTCAGGCCCGTGTAGAGTTTGACAACGTCCCACTCGTAAGCTATCGTAGGGTGTCGAGTCGTGTCGCCGTCTTCACCATAGGCACCCCATGGGCGTCTTGGCATCTTCTCTGAACGCCCCACCGGCAGCCGTTCCCACATCCAAATGGAGAGGGCCCACACAAAGCCACCCATATTGGACTTGTCTCCCGTCCTCTGGGTTGCGTCGTCAAGCTGCAAAACATCAAATGAGGATCAGATATAACAAAATGTCATGGACATACTTCCGTAGGTAGGCAATTAGATACTCTCTTACCGAACGGTATAGGTAGGTGAGAGATGCGGTCCCCCAACTGTACCCTGCATCCCAGTCGGCTAGGAAGAACAGATACAACCAGTTGGCAGAATTCCCAGAGCTGTCTGGAAACACGACCTCCATGAGAAGATACCACAGGTAGGCCCTCGCGTACCACTCCACAGTCGCCTCGTCTGCGCCTTCGGGGGCATGTCTTTTCGGTGCTCCGAGAGCCAGGTCAATGGTACACTGGATGTACGGTTACCCTTAGCATCGGGGCAGTCGTCGATGAGGGTGGTAACTCTCTGCTGCCAGTTGGTCCTCTCCACTCGCCCGATGAGTGCTTGACCCTCGATCGACATGGCAGTAATCATCGACCAATCCTCGAGGGTCACTGTCATCTTCCCGCATGGTAGATGGAAAGAATGGGTCTCTGGCCGTCACCGGTCAATCAAAGCTGTCAGAGCTGCGTGGATAAGCGTCGGCGGCTGATGCTTGAACTGCAACACGAAACCCAACAGTCAGGCTCTCTTGAAGTACGGCGCGTAGCGCTCGTTGTAGTCCATATTTCCATGAACCCCGTGACCCCTCATGCACAGTGGCTGGAGCATCTGTCAAAAAGTGGACGGCAAAAGTTAGGAACTTATTTTCATCAACCCAAAAACTTTGATCAATATTTCCTTCATATTACTTACCTCTTCGTTCTTTATGAAACGGGCACGATGACCCTTGTCGAATGCGTAGTCAAGCATGGAGTACCGTGGGCCGATGTTGTCCGCAAGAGGTGCCCGCCTTAATAAAATTTCATAAACAAAAGCATCATAAGCATAAGCATACATAAACAAAAATAAAATTTCTTGGTTACATGAACTAGGGTTCATCTTAAACATATTCCTCCAACCGCATATACTACACATGATGGATCAAATCATATCAACATGCATCATATCAAAATAAAATCCTCCAACATGCATCATATCATCATTTTTAAACAATTTTTTTTAAAATAGAGTCCATCTTCAATGTTTTTTCTCCAAACAACATCTTCATATCATCATATCAACATGCATCATAAAACTACAATCAAGTCCTCCCACATGCATTACATCATAATTTTTTTAACAAAAAAATTATGAACTAGGGTTCATCTTCACACTAAAATATGAACTTTTGATTAGAGTTCATATTCAATACCACTAGTTACTAAAGAACTAAGAACTAGAACTAGAATCAAGCTAAAACAACCCTAGGTGAAAAAAAAAATTCAATCTAAGTTCAAAAATATGAGAGATTTCAAGCAAATAATGCGTCGAATCGAAAGCAAGTTTGCAAAAACTAATTGGAGGGATCGGAGGAGCTTATATTTCTCTTTTTAGGGCCATCTTGATCCGCAAAAACGACGAAAATTCGAGAGGGAGAGTGGAGGAGATGAGAAATGGAGAGAGGGGCGAGTGGGGAGAAAGAAACTGCCGACGGGGGGAGGGGGAGGGGTGGGGAGATGGGCAAGGGCACGGGGTCTCGGACGAAATAACTGCTCGCACCCTACCGCCAAGAACGCTGGCGGTAGGGTTAGACAGCCTACCGCCAGGGGCTGTGGCGATAGGGTGCGACGGAGGTGGGCGGCGGTCGTCTCTACGTGCTGACGTGGACTAGTACCCTACTGCCAGGGCTGCTGGCGGTAGGCTGTCTAACCCTACCGTCAGAACCCCTGACGATAAGAAAAAGGGTTAAATCCTGAATTTTTTCCAACCAGGGTGAGATCCTGAATTTGTATGCCATAAGGGTCAAAACACGAAATTTAGCCCCCGCTGTGTTCTTCCTCATCTACCCACTGCGCACGGAGGCTGTTCCCGGCGACGGGCGGTGAATTTCCCAGCGACGAGAGAGCCTGGATTCTGAAGTGCAGGCAGATCCACACCGTCGGGTCCTGCTCCTCCGACGGCCGCTTCTCCTCCCGCAAAGTCCAGCGCCGCCACTGGTTCGTTTCCGCGCGGACTACCTGCACAGATCCGTCGACTGAGGGACCGCCAACATTTTGTGTTGGATCCCCTTTTTCTTGACTTTTAATCGGAAGTAACCATTCCTCTATGAAATGTTCCTGATGGGAACGGTCAATATGGATGATTTGTATGGAGCCACAAGCTCTAAAGCAACATTTTTCTTTCCGAGTATAGCATAGCTCTTCCCAGATGATTCGGAAGATGCATACGGCGTCTCAGTTTTCTATTTATTGTCTTCAATTACTGATGCTGTTTGTTTCATGCAATTCTCTCCATGCCATTAATTACTCTAGAGAACCTTTCCAGCATGCTGAACACATAAATTGATTCACCATGTGACTACTAATGAGCATTGATCAGTGGTACAAACTGCACGTCACTGTTATGATATGTCACCAAGAGTGTGACTATATATGATTTTACGCCTTTCAGGTGCTGTGGTCGACAAAAGCTACCTTACTTCTAGAGTTGCAGCGAAGAAATAGAGAAGCCAGGAACCCCTTCTAAACGGATTCAGCTTGTGCAGTATTCCAAGAATTCTGAAGAAACCCCAAGGAAAGAGACCCAGAGGAGGGCGGGCAGGATGATCAGTGTTGGGAAGACGAAGCAGTATGCAAACGTTCTTGACAAGCCCCTCAGCCGAGGCAGACAGGAGGTACACGTCCTTCCCATATCAAAACCCCTTCAGATATTTGTTTCTGGCAGCTCTCTTAGTAAGGCATAGGTTAGGTAACTGAGACAGATTCACAGGTTAGGGTAGTAGCTGGGCGGAAAGTGTTTCAGATCCTGCTCAATTAGTTTGAGCAGCAGAAGTTTTCTTACTCATCGACTGTAAATTGTGGGAGTATTGTTTATTTGAGTAGTATGCAGTTGGCAATGTGAATTTTGTTGAAAGTTGAAGCTGAATGCATGGTGTAGTTATAGCTTCCATTGGAAACGTGGAGGAACCGAGGAATTATTGCCCAAACCCACTACTCTATAATCGTGTTTCAAGAATGGAAGGAAATGGGTTAATATTCTGCATAGTAGCAAAATATATTGAAGTGGAAGTTACTTGACAGCTTAGTGATACTTTCAATTGGATAAATTAAAGAGCTAAATATATTTATTATTGTAGCCTAATTGCAAAATGTGAATGTATTCAACCATTCATTCTTTTCATTGGTAGTAGTTGTGTTTCTGAAGTTAAACTGAACGTTTTGACAGCGTCTACTTGTATTTGGCCCAATATAGGCTGTATCATACGTACAAATTTCTTATAATACAGCCATCACATTAGTATGAAAAATACTCCAAATGATTTCTCATTAGTTTCTAAGTACATTCTAGTGAACCTAAACTGTAGTTACTGCCCTGTAAGCAACGAGAAGGAATTGTTTCGTGAAAAGGGCCAAACACAATGATAACAACGACTCCTGCATTAATTGAAGGGGTAAAATAAATAGCATCAAAATATATTGAAGTGAAAGGTACTATGCACTGTAATGCTACTTTCGATTGGATAATTTTCTAGAGCTACTATCCTGATTGCAATGTGAGACGTGTTACTTCCTAAGTGCAAAAGGATTTGGATGTGAGATTTAGTGGCACATTCATTCTTTTCGTTGGTAGTTTTTAGCGTGTGCCAATATATATTATTTTCCTGTTTTGTTATGATACATGTTTCATAAATGTTCTGTATTCCATAGGTCAGTTTGAGTGCATTCGCATTCTTGTTCTCGGAGGTGGTTCAATACAACCAGACACAAGTTGACAACATTGCTGACCTGGAACGAAGGTAGCCTCTATGTTCTTATTCATGCATCTGTTCATATTGTTGATGAAACTGTATTGTTGTTAATTATATCCACTCTTAACACTTTTTACTGTCCTACGGCATTTCATTTGTCCTGATTTGATTGGTTCCTTGTAGCTGGTACAGCCTTTTTTAGTCCGTACATGCTACTCTTTGATATCCGGGTCACATATTTCAGGCGCTATGTGTTTGCCACTTACTGTATGTTATTGTATCATCTGGAATTTCAGATAATGCAAAAGGTTTACAACAACTTGTTCACATGTTGAGATGTGATGCAACTATAACATTTGGTTGATCAATTATTATTATTTCCATGACGTGGTCGATCTAATTTCTGCAACATTATTTGTACCTCTAATGTTTCAGTACATCTCTCTCTTTGGAGAATGGAGACCACAGTCTTATTGTGCTAAATCATGCAAGGACATTTGACAATGTTTCTCATTAAAAATACACCGCTCCATATTCATGCGTTAATATTCTTTGATGCTTAGCATAACATCCCTTCCTCTCATTTTATGTTTTATACGCAGGCTGGAGGACGCTGGTTATGCTGTTGGTGCTAGAGTTCTTGAACTGCTGTGTCACAGGGAGAAGGTTTGATGCGTAGTTCTTTTCTTATTCCATGATTTCATTGGTCGTCTATTGCTTCATATACTTAAAATGATGATAAAGTTAACAGAACAACAGTCAAAACTTCGTCGCTTCTTTGTTGCGAGTGGCATGGCATAGTCATCTCGTTTTTCTTGCATAACTTCAAACTTGCTGTTTGTAACTTTGTATTCCCATGTCTTTTTCTTAAGAGGAAGTCATAGCAACAATATCTATAGCACAACATCTGACATGCCAGCATCTATGATTTCTCTTATTAAGTTTCCAGGTGTTCTCCAAATTTATATCATTAGCCTCGTTATTGACTTATTGTGTATGTGCTCTCTAAACTGTTATCCTGTCGAGATAGTCATGTTAATAATAATAGTCAATCCAGGGGAATAGACGAGAGACTCGACTGCTGGGGATTTTATCATTCATTCACAGCACTGTATGGAAAGTACTGTTCGGAAAGGTAATCTATTTTACATATCAATCTTCTGTTATTCCTACTCTGTTCCGCAATAGTTGGAGTGATTGCCATAATTTAGGTGTTCTTGTAACATACTTACGTTTTTTCCGTTCAATGAGGTTGTCCCATCAAAAGATTGTGGGCCGAGCTTGTTTGTTAGTGGCCTGACTTCTGGGGTGTTTGATGTTCTTCGCCACTGCCTGACCAAGCACACCTATTTATTTTTATTTGGTTTCTGTTTTTCTGACTGAAGGGAAGCCTTGGCGCAGCGGTAAAGCTGTTGCCTTGTGACCATGAGGTCACGGGTTCGAGTCCTGGAAACAGACTCTTGCAGAAATGTAGGGAAAGGCTTTGAGCATGCTTGGATACGTTTTAGTCCCATGACTAAAAGTAGTGGGACTAAAACTTGCTAGTCTCACCCATGCTTGGATCCAAGTACTAAAGAGACTAAAATCTAGTTATTGAGCATTTATTATCCTCCAAACCCTCCAATCCAGAACTAAGGAGAGGAATTAAATGAGGAGAGAGAGAGCTAATACATATTTTAGTATGTTTCCCATGACTAAAAGATTTTAGCCTCAAGACTAGTCCTAGCCTCTCTTTAGTCAGGGGTGCTTGGAACTTTAGCCTCTAAAAGAGACTATTTTTAGTCAGACTAAAAATAGTCCCTTGTATCCAAGCACCCTCTTTGTACAAAAGACCCAAAATGCTTGGACCCTTCTCTGGACCCTGCACAAACGGGAGCTACATGCACCGGGCTGCCCTTATTTTCTGTTTATTGTGTGTAGATAATTTCTCCTATTTAAATATAAAATAACATATGCTGAAAATAAATACAGAATTACGTATCACACCGAAGGCTGGAAATTAGAGAAATACTTTAATCCAATGGCAACTCTTTGCTAGAGTAATTACCATTTTGAACAATGCAAAATTGTGACAATATGACCTGTTTGTCCATGTTTCAATTTGGTTGCTAGTACAAAAGCAGAGTCAATTAGCATAGATTATTCCACATATTCATGTATGTACTGATATTATAACATGATTTTATTAATTTGTACCATTATAGCTACGTAATGTCAGAGTTGGGGTATCAATTTGGTCGATGTTGCATTTGTGCACTAATTTAACACCTGGTGATAAAGTTCCCTTGTCTGAAGCATTGTGATCTAATGAGCACTTCTCTTTGCACTTACTGACCACAAATTTGACTAACAAACTTAACACAGCTTTCAGCATCACATTTCTGGCATGACGACCCTTGATCCTAAAACTCCGATTGTCCAGAATTCCAAAGAAGATTTATGATTCTCGTATTTTAAACAATTTCCTCAGTTGTTTTATACAAGAAATTTTTGCATCCATTTATCATGTGTTGATAGTAAGTCCGCCTGTCGTTCTGTTCTGATTGCTGGACTGAGTGGACTTATTTGATGGCTTATCCCGGTAGATGGTTTCTTACTGTTTCCAGGTGGCTGACTCGCTTGAGAAAGGAACAGAACATGAGGATGAATACATGATTAGTGAAAAGGAGCTTCTTGTTAACCGGTGTGATGAATTCGTTTTTCTTTAACTTCATAATATTTTTCTTCCCATACAAATCTGAAACCTGGGAACCTTTTTATTTGATCAGGTTCATTTCCGTGCCGAAAGACATGGGGGCATTCAACTGTGGAGCTTTTGTTGCAGGGATTGTAAGGGTGGGAATTCCAGCTCAAATATTTAAGTCAACCGTGTCTTCTTAGATACACAACGTATAAACCTTCATAAAATTTCTTACAGGGCGTATTGGACAATGCTGGTTTTCCAGCGGTAGTTACGGCACATTTTGTGCCAATTGAAGGCCAGCAGAGGCCCAGGACAACAATCTTGATTAAATTTGCTGAAGAGGTACTTAACTTCTGCTGCACATTAACGAAGAATATATCCTATTGTGTAACTGAGAAAGACAGAAGGGGTGATTTCCTTTCTTTCGGTAAAAATCTTTTGCTAGAAGATTTAGTGATACTATATTTAGGTAAATTATTTGTTTTTGTACAAGCTGCTAAACAGTAAGGGCATCTACAACCATAATGGGAAAATTTGGCCCCTCAAACATCTGCGGATGCGTCCGGTCAGTGTCCGCTTTTAGCCCCTATTTGTCCATGCACACAACCATGCCCCCACTTTTCCCCCAATATGTCCGCTCACAAGCATATGATTGATGGAGAGGAAGAGAGAGAAAAGAAAGAAAGAATAAAGAAAGAGAAAAGGTGGTCCGTGGTGGGTCAAATCCTACGTGGCGCCCTGCCCGGACATCCCCATATCCTCGCTATATATGGACTGGATATGGGGATTTGCGGACAGCCTAAACATATGG